TGTTTGAAGTTATTTGGAAAAAGTATCTCCATTACATAGTGAAATCTATTTTTCAACTGTAGATTATTCTGTTAATTACATATCAAGCATGGCCTTGGCTAAAAAAGGATTCGAGAAGTAAAAAGAAGTAAAAACTTTGCAGCTACATTTTTGATTTCCTCTGATGATCATAACTCTTTTCATGACTTCATATATATATAAAAACAGGGCTATCATGCATATCTGTTTAATCTGTTAACTGAAGTGCGTAAATGATTCCTTACGTGTTCTGTAATTAAATGAGATCATTATTCAAAGAAGTGTCAGTGTCTCTTTAAAAGATATGAGAGATGCTCATAACTACAGACCCACTTTAAATATCAGAACGCCTTTCCATGTGACCGATTTATTTCTCTAGCATTGCGTCGTCCGCTGTGACATGCAGGCAGAGAAGATGGATGATGGGAGATGGCCTCATAATCAAGCAGTTGACATTTCAGAGCAAGATCAGCTGGGATATGCACCCTTACCATTTACATTCCAGCAACCAGAGACTGTACAGGAGGTTCATGTCCGCCTTGTAGGCGTAGTGATTAAAAAGGGCTAATTAAAGAGAGATGGAGGAAATCATTCCGTTTTTTTTTTTCATTAAATTTCCCATGAAATTAGATTTCACATTGGCTGCACTGGATGGAAGGTTGAGCTTTTTATGTGTTTTTCCCCTTGAAGAAAACAAGGTCCGTGTAGGGTAATGTAATGGTGTGTGTGTGTGTGTTCGCGCACATGGAATGAGGAGTGACAGTCCACTTATGAGGAGACGTTATGCTCCCTGAGTTTAATTCTCATTCTGGAGGAGATCAGCGTGACAGGAGAGGACACTCACACATGTTAAACTCTCAAATTTCAGCTGCGTGTAGGTGAAGGACGAGAATGATGAGAGACTTATAATCAAGCAGCATCTACATGGGGTTTCATTTTTGTGGCACCCAGTACCATTTTGGACAAAGTATTGTTCACTAACTACAGTATCTCTCTTTATGCACACACACATATATATATATGTGTGTAAAATTCTGTGTGTGTATGGGAGGGCTCACCAACTGGAACCTAGTGTATAGCTTGTATGCTAATGGCATGCTGGCATTGGACAGCCTGCCAGACAGCTCTTGTGTACCGTGGCGACATATGGGAGTAATGGCCGCGGCTAATGCAGGATCCCAAAGGATTGAGAATGGGAGAGAGTGACAGTTCTGGTAGCTGTAAATGGGCAAATGTCTAGAGGTAAAGTACTACATCTGTTAATAACTGCTTTTGAAAAGAGGGAGAGGGAAGAGGAGAAGGAGTGAGGGCGAGATGCGGAACTAAAGAGGGAAAGGAAAGGAAAGGAGATACTACGATACCTAATCGATGCATAAATTCTGCAAATGTGACAGTACTTGTTTTTCTACAATACCATAGATGTCACAGGTCCTGAAGAAGTAATTTTTCCAGGACTGACTGGCAGAATAATAACCCTGAATGTCTTCTAGTCTGACGTGAAACACAAAGGGAAGAGGAAGAAGAAGAAGGAAAGCTGACAGAGGAACAATTACAACGACACATTTAGTGGTGGAGGCAAGTGCAGGAGCATCAACAGTTCCGCCACAACTTGTGGGAAAAAAAAAAACACAACAATGAGCCAGTCTGCACCTCAAAGACAAATTAACTTTATATTAAAACATGTCGTCAAAACGTTAATTTCAGAAATGTTACCATTATTGTGTAATTGTGCAAATTGTGAAAGTGCCACCACACACAAGGTTCACAAAGGCTGCGGCGCCTTGGAGGCTCATCTAGTAGAGCCCTTACCATTAAGGCTTAGTCCTTACCGGAGCTCTCACTCTCTCTCTCACTGCAGTAAAAAAAACTGGGAAAAAAAGTTTAAAAATAAAATAGGAGGTTAACAAAGGCTAATGTTACCTGGTTTAGGCTAACACAGTGATAGCTCATAACATGAGCTTTTTGAATGAATATTTTCACACTGTTGGTCTGTCACTGTATTAGTTAATTAATGCTTGCACACGAACTATATGGAAGGTTGTGAGGGTGTGTGTTTCCAGAATTTGGTATCGAGAATTGTGGAATTTAAAAAAAGGTATTGGAGGCCCTACTAAGGAAAGGAAAAACAACATATGGCAGAATCAGTACCTGACGAATCAAGATACTTTGTGAGTGAACAACTACATAACTGAAAAAGACAGACATGGACTGATGGATGATAAAGAGGATGAAGCAGGTTAACTTGTCTCCAAATTGCAGTGATTTGAGCAACACAGTGTGACAAAAGAGGGAGAAATCAAAAAGCTTTTGTGCCTGCCCACTTCTCTTCACCATTAACAAAGTAGTGGGGTGTTTGACAGGTCATTGACTCCAACCGCCATGCCTCCAACTGTCATCTGAGAGCTGCAGGGCACACATAACACACCCACAGTAAAGGGTCAAAGAGGAGGAAAGCTTCATAGAGTATAATTGACTGAACCACGACCTGCAAAGGTCTCTGAATACTGTGGTCTTTTGTCTGAGCGTGCATACGTGGTCACACCTAGGCCAACACCCCACAGCCTTCTGCACATTCATCACATTGTGATTAATATTCATGAGGAGGCTGGTGGACGGTGTCTCAGGATGGGGGGCTAATGAACACAGTGTGCATGCATGTCACTGTGCAAGTGTGTGTGCACATGTCACAGATGCAGGGGGCAGAACTGTAATCAAATCACAGCCAGCCCCTCATCTCCGCCCTCATCAACCACCAGTGGCGCTACTTCCGTGCACGCTAATGCTAACATGCTACGCTACTCGCTTTCCTGTGGTTCGGTGCGGGCAGCAGGGACAGCACAGATGTGTGTGTGTGTGACTGTTTGTGTGAGTGTTGAATAATAGTCAGAGACTGGCCCAGATAAGGGAGGTCTGGACTCGTGGCTAAGCTAACCACTAGGCGTACAAATAGCTACCCATTATCTCTCATTAGCATCCGTGGCCAACATAGGGCCCATGCTGTGTGGTGGAGGGCCCTCACAATGGGACCACTCCGGTATGATTGATGGTGAAACAGCATCAGCCACAATAACAGAACGAAAAAGAAAAGCACTAAAGATAGAATCTGTCGACTGCGGCAAGGTAATAAAAACGTAGACAAACAAAAGGAAGTCAGACTAATCAAGAATGCCAGGCACAGCTCATTAATCTATGAGAGCCGACACCATTTGGAAGCCCGGAGATAAGTCAGATTACTGGCACGTTGTGAAGATCATGTGCACTCGTCCTTTTCGGTCCGCTATCTTTTCATCAGCGGCAAAAACAAAAGGATGAAATGAGAAGCGAGATGAAAGCGGGGAGGGCGTTTGGAGGATTGGGTGAAAGAAGAGAGAGTAACGAAACAAAAGGTAAATAGGACAGTTCCTGCATGGTGCAGGTTCTAGCGAAGCGGATGCTCTGCAGAGCCCGTAATCACAAAAAGCGTCGCAGCATGGAAAACTACGTCACTTTCACTTGTTAGTGACAGAATTTGATCAAATGCCAGAGTGGGATTTCATCTGTGACACCTCATCACCATCACTTTGAGGACGCTGAGAGAAAGAAGGTTTAGGTTGGAAAATTAGTCATTAAAATCCGTGACTCACCATCTTAGGGACAAATAAGATGCAGATCTTATGATTATAATTCTATCATCCGGGAAAATGAGGCCTCTGTTCTCTGTGATTGCAAAAACATTTTTTTTCCCGCTGTTGAAGATTCTCACTGAGTTTACACATCTATTATTTAGCTCTGTCCCCTTTTTCACAAAGAGTATTTTGCCAAACTTGCAGTTGCCGTGATGCTCACACAGACACACACAGACACACAGACACAGACACACAGACACACACACACACACACACAGACACACACACACACACACACAGACACACACACACACACACACAGACACACACACACACACACACAGACACACACACACACACACACAGACACACACACACACACACACAGACACACACACACACACACACAGACACACACACACACACACACACACACACACACTCTATTGTTCATGCAGCCTAAAATACCAATTGTTATTGCGTGGTACAGGGTCGGCTGAATATTCCATTTCCATTTCATTTGGCCTTCTTGCTGACTAAGAGTTGGTAATTTATCATTCGTCTGCACCAGGGGCTTATGAATATGGATTTCGGGCAGTTTATTAGCACATCTTAGGAATGCATTATGGGAAATTAGCAAGAGGAATGAAATCTGTTCTTCACAGAAATTGGGCCACTGTCTGTATGTGTATGAAATCCAAAAAAACTCCCGAGCCATATCTCCTGTGAAGTTACATCACTGCTGTTTCTGAGAACTTCCCTTTGCACATGGATGATTTACCTGAAATGGTGTCCTTTTATCTGTCTCAGTACAAATGAACATGACAGCTAAATCACACAGCACCGTCAACACTCCTACTGCTTCACTTTCTGAAGGGAACCGGAGGGAGGGCGGTTTGGAGAGAGGAAAGGAGGGGAGGAAATAAATTCACTTCCTTACCAAGCATGATTGGAGCCAATTAAGATGCAATCAGTTTATTTTCTTTGGTCAGACTCATGGCAGAAAAACTCTTTTTATCACATTCATTTGGTTCAAATTCCTAAGAACTAGTGACAAGCTAACCAAGGTTTGGATTTGCAAATACCTTGTTTATTGGACATCCTGTCATCCTGCCAGGAGACTTTAGCAGGCAGTCACAACAAATCCGCTACCAGACTCTAAGCATGGATAAGAATGACAGATTCCCTGCTGTAATTCACTATCCCTCATATCAGGTATAGAACAATAAGGAAGCAGCTTACTGCTATCATACAGTACGTCAACATGGCCACGTGTTCAGGGTTGGATGATAATAACGACAGGACAAAACTGTGTGAGCCGAGATAAACCAAATGAATCGCATCCCTCGTGCTACATGTGTCCCTCCACCTCCTCACCTTGTCTCTGTCGTCCACTAGATCACTCAGCATGTCGTCCATGTCCAGAATCCCTCCTTCAGCGTACTCCAAGTGGTGGGTTTTCACTGCTCTCTCCCCATGCTGGACACAAAGACACCAGTTAGCAAAAATTATTGAATTTGCATTAGGGCTGGTAAATAAAATAATAAATAAGCCTAATAAACAGCTTGAATTACTAACATAATGGATAGTTATAAACCTGAACTAACTCATAAATATTTCACTATAAGAATCCTGCACAGTTAAACTAAAACAGCTTAACAACCAATGACATCTATCACCAATCTTCAACTGGTCATACTGTAATCATTCAATAATAATCATATTATACTGACTGTAAGACTGACCACAGAACGCAAGAAGACATATTTCACAAATGTTACAGAAACTTAAAATGGCTTGCACTCAATGAGGTGCATGTACAAACACAATAGACACAATTATACAATGGCTGTTCTTATCACACGTTTACAAAAATTGTCATAAGAGCGACTGCCAAGTTAAAGAAAATATTCCAGTTGTGTGTGTGCAGTAACAATGTCTTTGCACAAACATGCAGCGTTATGAGATGCTTGACCCACTCACTCATCATTTTCAGTTTATTACAGACTTAGGTTCAGTCACTGTTTCAATATAAGAAATAAAAATAAGAATAAGAAATAACTCAACTAGAATGATGTGTTTACAGCACAATACTGACAGTCACTCAACATAACAATGGCATATATTCAGACACAACAGCAGGTCTCCCTGTTTGTTTGGCAGGTACAGTAAGGACAGATGACCTACATTACACTGTACATGATCAGCACCAGGTTTTAAAAAGTACAGCTTGTACAGAGCTATGCGAGCGTGAGGTGGGGGAGGATAGGAACTTTTCCAGTTTCACAGCTCCGCGGGGAGCGGTGGTGGGCACATTCCAGGCCAGTTTCACTGTCACCATGAGGACAGAGGTCAAAGTGAACACACCCCACAGAGCAGGAAGTACGCGGAGCTTCATACATTGACAAAGAGAACAAGGACTTTTGACTGAGCGGCAATCTGAAATCTGTGAACTGTTAGCACAACAAAATCAAATGAGAAGTACACACACAATAGCATCTTCCCCTTTTTGTGACCCAGTATTCACACAATCTGTTGTGGTGATGCTTTGCAGATCTCTGAGTTCATTTCTGGACAGTTTAAGATGAGGATGATGATAAATTTGGTAAATTATGAGAACAAAGTGAAACAGAATGTAGTTCTGACCTTCTGAATGGGTTCAGTATTTGCTGGTTTTCCAGATTAAAAGGAATTCCTGGACTTAGAAATCTTTGACAAGCCTTATCGGTTCTAACAATGTGTGCAGTAGAAAATGGCCCATTAGGAACTGCCCATACCAATAAGCAATCTGTCCGGAGAAACACAAGACTACATTACCAGCTAAATTAACAGCTATAGGCAATAAGCCTCAGAGGCTGGAATGAGTTTGGCTAAGACCCAGCGAGCAGCTTCTGCTGTATCACTGAGCCCCGTTGTGAATGGGCTTGTTCTTGCTCCGCTGCATCCAAATGTGAATTATGGGGCACAAAAAAAGAGGGTGTCTGCCTTTTACAATGGGCCAAGTCCATTCTCTTAAAACAAATGGTTGGGAAAGCCTGGGATTTCAATCACAGGAATAAAGCCAGAACCTCCCTTTCTTCAGAAGTGCCCATAATACCAACACCAGAGCTCCGAGAGATAGAGCAGCAAGTAATCCGCAACTACAACTAGCATACAAATACACTGCAGTTTCCACACAATGCAACGGCATTGTATGATATGCAAACAAGCATGCAATCCACTGAGACAGAGCCCAGAGCATCCTGTCACTGTGAAAATATGAAGTTGTTTCAACATAACATAAAATAAGAGTGAGGGCCTCACAAAAAAAGAGGAGGCCCTACTTCCTCATAGTTTACATTGTTTAAATCTGATCAGACTCATCTGAGAACGCTGGGAAGAAAGTAACCTTCAACATGTGATCCATATCTGGAAACATTACAAGGATAATGACATCTGATCACGTTTGTGCTTTCACACATGGTATTTATGAGTGTCCTTGTCATCTCAAATCCTGCCTGCACTGTTATCAGATCACAACACATACTTTGAGTAGGTGGACAAACAGGGTGAATCTCAATGTGGAATAAAGCATCACTATAATATGCAAGGCAAAGGCTAATGCTACTGTAGTCAGTGCCAGTGGAGATGCCTGCTAGCACTAGCTCTCACCTGCAAAGACTGTCCTGCGTGTCATAGCAGTTCCTCAATGATAATGATTATGAGATATGACAAGTGCAATGGTGTGTTTATTGATAGTTTACTCCAGGACAGCACATGTGGGATGGAGACGTTGAAACCGGTGGAGCATGGATGTAGCCAAGACGTCAGGAGCAAAGCATTCACACCTCGCCAGAAAAACTGGTCCAACCTGAACGACTGCCGGCATTCTTCTGCCTCTTAGTGTTTATGTGTGAGCGAGAGAGTGTGTGTCTGTGTGTGAGTCTGCAACAGCAAAGGAGGGAAGGGCTTCACATCATCAGCATTAAGACACACGCCTTAATGAAATGAGAAGCATGAGTGTGAATTTCGGGGCGAGGGATTAATTCACATCAGTGGATTAGAGCGCAACAATGCCCGAGTGTTAATTACCGTCACCTCTGCGGGCCGCGCTTAAGCACACCTGACGTACTTGTGCTCTACTTGTGCCCTGCCAGAACTCACAAGACCATAGGAGACACACTTCCCTGCTTACCTTGTGATGAAAAGGGGTGAATGTATGACACTTCAGAGGGAAAGTAATCTATAGAGAGGAAAGAAGGGAATAAAAAAAAAAAACCCTCTGAAGTCCCATGTTGTCAATCCCTGGTAATTCCCCTTTGTATCCTGAACTCTTCCCATGAAGTAAAAAACAAAAGGAGTTGGGAGTCAGTCAGTCAATACCAGAGGAGAATTACCGTGACAGTTAGAAGAGTAAATTCCCTGCAAATTACACTATTAAGTCCCCCACCATTTAAACAGATAGTGCTCCTTCTTCTCCCTCTCCCCCTCTCTGGTGAGCAAACACGACACCACTCAAGAACGGTGAAGCGCCAGGGCGATTAGCGAAGCTAAATTCGCTGCGGTGGTGATGGTGGTGGTGGGGGTGCTATTTCACACTTTGATCCTCAGAAGAATGTGTAATTACACAGCTGCAGGAGGACGGTGTGGATTTAGCCGTGACCAAAAAAAAAAAAAAAAAAAAAAAGTCTTTAATGAACGAGTCGATGAGGAGCTGTCCTCCGGTTGGGTCCATCAGTGCGAGTGAGTGGAAAGAGAAAGGAAAGCTGTGGAGAGCTTTTTCTCTGAAGGACGACGGCAGCAAGAAACAGACAACTTGACCTCAGCAGTCGCCAACGTTCTACTGTAATCACAGGCCAAAATTACTCCTGAACACTACAGAAATATATTATGTGAAGATGCAATGATCCAGTATGACACACTGAGTATTAGCCATGAAATGACAGAGCCACTTTTTTAATGTTAGAAAATTTACAGTTACAATCATTCTCAGTCAGGCTGCAGACTGTTCACATTCCCCTAAATACAAATGAGCCCAATGACGTCCACACACTGATGAACACAGAATTTGAATTTGGGGAAAAGAGAGCACTGATATTCAATTTCGGCACATATCCTGGGTTGAACTTTGTTTCCATTCTCTCTCTCTCTCTCCATTCAGCATTTATAAGCAGTATATTACACACTACAAAGCCAATTTCATAGTCAACACTGCTGTCTCACAACATTTTAAGAAGAGCAAGGGACTATGCTGCTTTATCTCCTGCCAACAGCAAGTTTAACTAAGCAAAAAGTTTTTACTGAAGTACTTTACAGATAACTCCACCTATTTAATACTGCATATACCTGCAGATAAGGAACTTAGAAAGACTATTTGAAAAACTAGAATGACCACCTCGTGGTTGTATACTTCCGCCAACCAGTCAATTTACAACCTCTACTTCTGTTCCTGAGTTACAACATTGAATAATAGCCACAAGTGTTTTTGCAGAACATTATGATGTCACAGTGAAGTTGACCTTTGACCGTTTGGATATACTTCATCATTTTATCATATTAGAAATTTGTGTTAAATTGTGTCATAATTAGCAAATGAATTCTTGGCCAAAAATATACTTTGTGAGGTTACAGTGACATTATTCGATAATCTGAAAACATAATGCCTCCAACCATGACCTTGATTTTTATTTTCTTAATTATCTGCACTGAATAACCATCTATTTACAATCCTGATTGTTTATATGCTGCTTATAAATGGACTTGATCTATTTTTGGTGGACACAGTGAAACCAGACAGGGTGGCAATTTGATTTTTAAAAAGTTCTGAGAACTGATACGCAATCACATCCTCTTTTTAATGTCAAGATGTCTGGGATGCCCTAATTTAAATTTACATGCCAGCAGGCATCTGTCCTGCTGAAGTGCCCTTCAGCTAAACAGAGAACACCCTCTAGCCTCAAGATGCTGCATAGTAGTTATACAGAACTCTGAAATGGAGGAGTATTTCCCTTCAGGGATCGATAACGTTAACTGTGACCATTTCCTTGAACACATCCAACAGCCAACGTGATCTAAATTCCAACGCCACAAACAACCGAAGGAAGAGAGAACAGCAGGTTTAAACAGTTACATTAAACTTTAAAAATGCCCTTTGCATAGCTGAGCTCTGACACACATCACATAGGTGTCCACACTGGAACCTTCCACTCCTACACATGAGAAGGAGGGCAAAATGTTCTCAGCTTGTTTAGCGTGCTGTCAGGTCGGTATAAGGGCTGTAATCTGAACTGAACCTGCACAGACAGACCATGGGACAGAGAGACACAGCAAAAGTACCTGGCCGTTTCCCCTGAGAACGCACAACACTGGCAGTCTACATGCTGGTGCCTCAGGCTACAGGCCTACACTAGTACAGTAATTGAGAAAAACAGAGGTAGGTCAGCTGTTATTAAGATAAGACTCATCTCATCTGCAGCTATGGACTTTTTCCTCCATCACAAACTCTTCATAAATCAAACATCTTTGGATTTTTATTTGAGACGTCAGCAGGTTCACTATTGTTTTGCATTCTTTTAGACTAAATCTAATCAAAAATAACTGTTAATTGGAGCCCTAGAAGAGACACTAATTTTACAAGTAATTATATAGATGACGAAGTAAGAAAGGAAGTTAAGATTTTATCTAATATTTGATAACTTAAATAAATCTTAACACCTGAGGTGCAAATCTTTACACAAATCCCACAATCCCCTACTTTCCTCATCATATGCCATATTAGCAGTGCTCGAACAATGTGTGGAAACTATATGGGGAAATCTTTCATTACCACCATGATGGCAAGTATACGCTCATATTGTACAAATCACACTGTATAATGAGAAGTAATTTTCAGTATGCAGTTAGTTAGAGGCTTTGTCGGTTAACGTAACTGTTTTCTCCACAGAGCCGATGAAAGCAGCCGAACATGTAGAGTCACAGCTGAGATCACATTAAAATAAGCTGCTAATTAAGAAGGTCTACATGCCATCACTGCAATTCACAGTGAGACTGTGCAGTATCCTGTTCACCATGCACATGGCCATAAACCAACACACACAAACACACCCTCAGCGATTAAACCCAGGTTTTTGACACTGTCCCTGCTGTCAGCGGTGGAGCCGGCGAGAGGGGAAATGTGCGGTTAATGTGGGCGATAAGTAGATTCTGCTGGCAGGAGCAGCCGGGCTCATCTGGTCAGATGTATTTAGTCCTTTCTGGCACTTACAGAGCTGGACTGTCCTCATGACGATCTCCCTCTATTAAGAGAAGTCAACAGACTGCTGAGTCAGCGTCTAGCAACGACTCTTAATTAACATGCTCTGTGAAAAGCAATCAAGGGTGCATTCTAATCACACATTCACATTTAGCCTACTTCAGCTTGTGCACCGCAGCGTCTCAGTGGGAATCAACAGGGACCGCTGGGCAGAGTGGGCATGGCTGTGGCTGTCAGTGAGGCAGAAAAGAGACAGCTCAGGGGACACAGAGCAAGATGAGCTCCTGCGTGCTTGCATGCATGCCTGTGTGTGTGTGTGTGTGTGTGTGTGTGTGTGTGTGTGTATGGTTATATAGGTGTTTTACATGTTTGTGTGTGCACATTCACAGAGTGGAAGCAATCCATCAAGCCATCCAGCCACCCAGACGGTCCGTCCATCCCTGCTTCCGCAGCCTCTCGCATTCCCACAAGCCAGCCTCTCTGCTCGCCTTGGGGGGGAGGGCGCGTGGGCGGGCTGAGGGGGTACCAAGCCAACCGATAAGACCGGGGCCTGTCACCAATCCTAATCCCCAATCACTCACAGGACAAAGCCTCCTGTCCACCGCGCACATCCCCGACTGCAGCCACATTGAGGACATCAAACAGTAAACTTCCACCTGCCCACTGAGATACCAGGGCTTAAAGGGGGAGCTATTGTACAGGTAGACAGCAGAGGCTGCAGGCAGTGCCACCTCAAATACGCACAGAGAGGAAACACACATCAGCACCCTATCACGCCAGGACAGCGTGCATATACAAAGCTGCTGATTAATAAAAGGTCAGTTCAGCAGAATGATTAATGTTCAAGAGATTGTAACATCAGGGTACAGAAAACTGTGGGGGTTCATGTCTTTGTTTATAGGTGGGGCATTCATAACAACACAAGCCAGAGGGAAACAACACTCTACATCCGTGGTTCCTTAACTCTAATAACACCATGAGTTATTATCAGTTTGGTTCAAAGTGTTCAGCTCATGCCAGTGGAAATTCACTTTCCCCTCAACCTGTCAGCTCTTACACTTACCAAGAAGTGAATTTCGACTCCAATCACATGGCAGAGAGCAACAGCAAAAGGTGACTGAGTTTTTGGAGCTGAGGCATGTGACAGTCACACCCCATATTAATCATCCAAAATGTGCTGTGGCTGCACTGCATTGTGGTGTCTTGAGGCAAGCTGGCGATCAATTGTGATGGATTTATTACTGTGTGATTTGTTTAACATTAGTGACCTTTCTCTTTCATTTACTTAAACATCAACACTGCTTATGTCATAGATCAAATGTTTAGTATCTGATACATAACTGAACTGTGGCTGCACTCTGCACCAATACAGCAGAACCATATATGAAAGTTACATTAGCATAAACATGTTTAAGGGGGAGGTTTCAGGAGATTTTATATCTTTCGCCACCACTTAAGAAATAGTGGCAAGACATTGATATGAAAATTAAAAAGGTCTCAAACCTTTTATGAATGACACTTCTATGACATTTAAAGTTTGAGTAAACCAAACTCTATTCAATTTTAGTAGCAAAATGAATTATTATTTCTAGGCAAATTATAGAAACCTCCCTGCTCATTATAGCTAGCAGCTATCTTGTTTTCAAGCTAGCTGCTAGCTATAATGCTATGAAAGTTATAACCACGCAATTAAGCACGTCACGTGATCCCCATCTCATCTCAGCCAAGTTATGGGAGTTAGCTTACAAAATGTGAGAGGAATGAAATATCATTTTTTGTGGGCACACATAGACAAAAAAAGTGTAAAGGCAAATGTCAGTGACGGTTTGTCTGTTTGTTTACCTGCTCCAAAATCCTGCGGTACCTCCGTGTGGCTTGTTCGACTAAATCCCGGACGGTCCATCCAGCTTTACAGGGAACCACCACCGCGGTGTCGCCGAAAGTTACTGTAACTTTCATACCAACTGTAAATTGAAAGAATTTATGAGATCAGTTAAGAAGTTAATCCAAGTTTCGGTAGTCTCTCTACCGGCAGTTGCTCCCTGTGAGAAGAAAGTGGCACCTGTCCGTCGAAACTGGAGCAACAGGTGTCTCAGGTCAGGATGAAAATACGCTGAAGTCACTTGTCCTCTTTCACCGAGACAAACAGTTGAATTAATCCCCAGAGGACATATTCTTTTCAGCCGAGCCGCCAGGGAAGTTGGTGGAAAATGGCACTTACGGACGCAGAGTATGACTTTGTGTCATGTTGAGCTGTCCGCTGATACACCCAAACAAAACAAACTGAGAGAGGAACCCGGAAGAAATCACAGCGACTCCGGCTTTCCAGGAAATTACATTCCCACTGACACACCAACCACTCTCATAGTACTTTATTTTACTACCTTTAATGTGTATTTCATTATTTATTCATATTCAAAACAGTTCCCAGAGTTCCATATGATTGATATAGTTTTAATGGTTCTCAAATGTCCAACAATAATAAAAAAACTAAACTAAAATACATATTCCTCAGTTTTTCTCTCCGCCTTCACCTTTAAGTCTCTTCTTTTTGGTAATTATATTTTTTATATTTTATATAAACTTAATATACACATTACAATTAATTTTACACTAATTTTTACAAAAATATTTAAAAAAAATAAAAAATAGCAACATCCAGAAAAAGAATACAAAAAGTGGCAAAAGTGACACAGTTTGACAAAATTAAAGACCAATGCTACTTTGAGCTGTTTTGTCATTGTTTGACTTGTTGAATTTGAACTGTTTTTGATACCTTAGACATGTTATTGCAGTTGAGCTCATCATTTTTATGTTGTAAGAAATTAATCTGTAAGAATAACTCCTACAAAGCTTATAATGGTTATAATATATCTTTATTCAACACTGTGCTTCAAGGATGAAAATATTACTTTTACTATTAATACTTTATTGTTGATAATTTACATACTTAAGAAATATGTTGTATGAAGGACTTACTTGTAATGGAGTGTTTTTATATTGTAGTTTTAATTAAGTAAAGGGGATGAATACCTACTCTCACACCTCTGGTTAATCCGATTGGATCCTATTGGAGGTGGTAGGATTTTATCTGACAGGATTGGATCCAAAATCACATTGCTAATGGGAAATATGTATTAGAGTCCTGTAGTTTCTTTTAACCTGATTGACCCTTTTCCTTTTACTCCTGTTAAGTCATATTATTTTATAGGATAAACAGAAGGACGATGAGGTAAACTGTCCACATGCATTTACAGAGAGATACATTAGCCTAACTACCTCCCTACTCCGATCCCCCAACACACACACACACACAGGCCACCACACCTCTACTCACACAGACATCACACATACTAATTACCTAATCGTTATTATCTGTCATTTTATGTCATTAGGTGTGTTGTGAAATTGCCTTTATGGATATTAATGGCAGCTGACACGCTCCCGTGCCTTATTCTCGGGCATTGTTTGGTTTTGCTCTCGGGAATTTTCTCCCCATCAAATCAGAAAGCCACCACGGCAGATGGATTCATAATTGGGACAAGCAATTATTTCCACTGCCACTGTAATTCATCCGAAATGTATGGAACGGAACAATGAAGGGCTGACAGCCTCTTTTGCCTCTTGTTTCATCTCACTCCTCTCATACCCAATAAACAAGGTGAGCATTTTTGAGGGAATTTGGGGGGGGGGGGGGCAAACAGAGAGATGGAAAAGGACAAAGAGATGATCCCTAATTAGGAAATCCTACAGTGGCTGCTTCCTGGGCTCTGATTTTAAGACAGAACATAATTTCATACCTGGTTTAACACTGTGTTTGCAGAGTCATTGACATTGTATGATGCTGGTTATGTTCCCCAGTGTGATCATCACGGCTGCTGACTCATCGCTCTTTGTTGTTGTTGCCAGCACTTGGCTGCGGTCAGTCAGCCAGCAGTACAACATGTGTGTTTCTATGCAACATTATTCAAACTGTGTGGGGCTGGGGAAAAAGACGGCTTAGCTGCTGCCTTTACATTTACTTTCCACACTCACCTGTTCTCGGCTTGTTCCAGTCGCTTCCTCCGAGCTGCACTTGGCAACTTTCCTCACATCAGCAGCTTCAAGTGGCAACGTGAGATTGCTGGAAGAAATTTTGAAAGTTTGAAGGACTTCATCACCCAGAAATCATGTTAAGTGGTGCCAGTAATGTATTCTTTATAACAGCAGGTGTAGAGACTGAAAAAAAATGTTTTGGATGAAGTTGGTGGATCCTAATTGTGAATATGTGAATGTGTGCCTGCTCATTGCAATCAGGATTTTTTTCTTTTCTTTTTTTTTTCTCCTTGTTGCACCCATGGAAGTTTTTCCAATTATTTTTTGGGAAATTTTACCTTTACACAGGAAATGCAGCAGAAAAACCCAACCAGATACATTGTGGTTATAAATCCCAACCACCAGGCCATCTGATGCCCTGACCCATATGTTCGTGGAGGATCATTCATGAGCTTGGTGATGGTTCGGTTTTCCGGAGCTTTTGACCGCATCACACAGCCTTTCTTAGTGGATGGAACTGGCTCAGGTCATGTGATGACCTGAGTTGTGTGAGGTGAGATCATAGCTGCTCAAATATAGTGTCTTGCACCAAGTATGAATGACTGACAATGTTTCTGTTGGCAGGTTTAGTTCTGGTGTTCACGGACAGCTGCTGTTGTCCAGAAAAAAGCATAAGTGATGCTTGAGTTCTGCATATTTTACCACAGATATGTATTAAAATGCTTTTAATTCAAACATGTACACACATACTATATACACACACAGGTGCACTAACACACTGGCTGGTACATTTCCTGTTTGTTCAAGGTGGCTACCTGTCACAGTTCACCTTTATGTCAAAGAGAAACAATGGAGTCTTTTGGACATGACATGACAGAGGCCTCAACATGTTTTCTCACTGTAGCATGTGAAAGAACAGAGCGATAAGATGTCACTGTCAGAAATGTCAAATGTGGTAACACAACACACACACACACACACACACACACACACAGTGAAAATTAGATTTTCTCTGTCCCTATGTAAGAGAGGAGCTGCTGTCTGACAATGCCGCTCTGCAGTGTTTGCACAACAGCACTGCTGTCAGTTGTTGACTCTATGATGTCACTTCCTCTATTAATAGAGGGGCATGCTCTCACCTGTACTGCTGTTGAGCAACATGTGATGCAAAAGCAGGACAAAGAGGTTTGAAAAGTGTGTTGCTGTTGTTGATCAGGATTTAAAACGCCGAGGCTGACAGTCATCTTTGAGCTCAAATGCTTCTACAAGTGCACACTGTGTAACGGTCTATCAAAGCTTTTCTTTTGAGTCTTTTCAATCTTATCCCCGTCTGGAAGTGAGGCATGCTACCCAAAGTGTTGGCCATCAATAAAAGCCCAGTGATGGTTTTTGTTGTTTTGTTCGTCTCTCTGAGTGCAATTTACAGGGTTGGGTTGTCTGGGTCGATAGCCGTGTTGATTTGCTTTCAGTCTTCAAGCAGTGCCCCTTTTCTAAAGAGCAAAATTGACATGTTCTCAGCGGCAATGCCACCACCCCTGTGTTTTAGCTCAGTGTGAGAGTGAAGCCGGTCAATAGCTGAGACTTGCTTCACTTCCTGCTGCGCTGCTTACAATTACAGGCCTTGAATCAGTAGCAAGGATTACTCATATAAACCTGCTCTCGCTCTGTGTGTGTGTGTGTGTGTGTGTGTGTTTGTGTAGCTGCGCAAGTAGGGCAGTGAGATAGTGTTCGCAATCACAAAATATGACTTTCATTCAGCATGAGGATTTCATTTCAGACCTCAGGTATAATATTCATGCTGCAAAATTGCATTTCTTTTGTGTGCGGCTGCTGAAAAGCTCCAGTCGAATAGCTAAAGGCGCTCGCCTGTGAATTACAAGTTGCCCAAATTGTCTGGAATTATGACAGTTATTCAGAGCAACACAGCTATCATCAGGCACCATGATCTATGGACACACAGGGATGCATATTCTACTTGGAGCTTAGTACACCTCTACAAGTTAGGGGGATCTTTGTGAAGCACTGCTGGCAGTCCACTTCCTTTTGGATTTTTTTAAAAGACTGCAGGTACAGTAAAAGCAGAAGTGTGCAGAATAGTAAAAGTAAGAGGAAGAGGAAGTTGGAGACTTTGATGTTCTTCAATCCTATAAACCAACATGGTGAGCACGCACTATGGTGTATTTCCAGCTCAGACATCCACGGTATCTAAGTCTAAATGTGGAAACTGTTTGTAATGCAGAGAGATAATCACCTCTATCCTCACTTTCAATGGAATTTGTCTGGAGCCTGCTGGAAGTTTAATCTTGAACCTCTCTCTTATTGGATGAGTGACCTCGGAAATACTCAGCTGTCTGTGTTAACCCCAGCCGAAAATCAGGGCCCACTGCCAGGTCAGACTCTGTTCATATCAGTTCAGCCGAGTGTTTAACCTGTGTGGAGCAATCTGCCACCCACCATGTTTAACACAGGGTCCAACCATAGGGAATTTAAAAGGAAAACTCCACCATAAGATGTTCTGACACCTTTAGATATCATCAATTTGTGGTGTTAAGTGCATTTCAAGAGTGCCTCAGTCAGACTGGCTCATCCATACTTCAGAATTCCTTGGATGCGTCCAGAGAGGGGGATATGGAATTGCAGCAGGCCAGTTTAATAGCCACAACACAGAGTAATGGCAGAGTTTTTCTAGCTGAGAAATCGAGGAGCAGTGACGCTCATTCAAATGCAACATTTTAAGTCCAAGTTTACCCTGCATGATTTATATAGCACGCGAAAGCATCCCACAGGACCTTTTATGAAACCTTCTCACGTAGAATTTCGACCTTTTACATGAAAGGACCTTCAGTGTGAGATAAAGTCAAAACGACTGAGAAAAGCTTATCAGGTTTTATTTTGTAGAGTACAGTCCGACTCTGTCACATTCA